CCAAGATATGTAGCTTAGTCAGCTTGCAGCCGTATATTCGGCGCTGTAAGCTCCCGCAAAGTCAATTACAAAATGGTCAACCTATGACACAAGTTTCTCAACGAATTGATCAATAGCAAACTCAGCAAAGTATTTCCCCATGCCCTTATGTGGAAGAAAGAAGACCCAATCACCCGTGCGTACAGGTAGCATTGTATTAAGAGACTTTGTAAACTCCCAATACTCTGGATAAGCTCCTCCTAACTCCCAGTCAACAAGTCCGGTCACTCGAATGGACTGATCTCGGTCCTTGCTGACCATTATATTTCGTGGATGCAAGTCCCCGTGTGTCATGACGATTCGGTGATCACTGCGTAGCATAGAATGTACAAACTTAATATAGGGCCCCATTGTGGGTGGGTGGTTTCCTGATACGAGGAACTCGTTAAACTGAGCTTCGTTCTCAATCTGTTGTGGGCTTGTCCGCTTCCACATTCTACAGTCGATGCAGTAAGGTGGATTTCCACTACCAAGAAAATGAGAAGGTAGAGGAAGCATCCTAAGTTTCTCTAGGATAACATCTAACTGATCTTGGATAGAGATTTTTTCTTCCGTAGACAGGGATGACCAGAGTTTATCCAAGGATGAGCCTTCAATAAAAGTCATGAACATGTAGGTCGTTTTGCCGATAGAAATTGCTCCGAGGGGCCGAGGGGCTGGAATATCGTTCGTGAGACTCTGAATATAGGCTGTAATATCGGCGTCGGTTAGAAGTAAATTATGCCCAAGCTTGACAACGGTCCGTTCATCAAGTTGTATGACTGCCCGTGAAAAATGGCCCCAAAGCACCTTTCCATTTCGCAAAGCGCGCGACAGAGCGAAACGAACCGAGACTTTGTCATCATCGCTGCTGCTGGATAAGCAATCCCGCTCACAACCATATTTCTGCAAAAGTGTATGGACTTCAGGTGCAAGGGGCCGAAGGACGACTGGAATTTCAGTTGGGACTTCGAAAGCATCCTGAATTTGACGTGTATTTGGAGTGTTGCTGCCTCGACCTATACAGTCATTATAATTAGCACTAATCTTTCCTACATATGAAAATAATTAGGTTCTCACGTACAGGTTTGGCTCTTCCTACTACGTTCCTCTTCCAGCCTACGACGGTCTGATGGGTACTTTCGACCCCATCTTATAAAGAATTTGCTGAGATCGACTGCTCGATTCCACTTTAACTTGGCATGTAGATCAGCCGTTGAAGACTCATTCAGTGTGATGAACCCTGAAAGAGCATCTCCATCAACCTCGCAATCCCCTTTTCGTGCATCGTCATCCAGCTCCGGAGAACAGAGACACGTATCGGATGAGGCTGGAGGAGATTGGTTTCTTCCGAAAAAGTAAATAACGGGTAAGGCGAGGACGACTGCGGTGCTGACGCCGAGAAAGAAGCTTAGGTAGTTAACTGCCTGGTCTAATGAAATTGCTCGACATGCTTCAGAAGCTGCCTTTTGGTTTGGTGGTAGGCACGGTTTGAGAAGAACATTCATTATATTCATTACTCATGCGACAAAGTGACACGGACGGGCCTTAACGTTCCAAGGTGAGGTTGGGAACGCTTAGTCACCCCACCAAAGCTCGTGTAAGAAGAGCTTGATGACCAGGAAGATCGTGGGACGCGTATATATTCGTAACTATAGGGGTGGACAAGCCGGGAGCGAGCCGAGCTACCTTGGTACCTAAAAGGCTCGTCAGGTGACGGGGTCACGTGTCACACATTCTGCAGGTGCTACTTCCGCTCCTGAACCTCACTTTCTCTACCCTCCTTCCCAGGTTCCCGACTCCATCTTCTCCCACTTGAACTTCCGGGTTACCATTGGGTAATAAAGCAGCCTCGCTCGCGCGTACTCTCACTCTCACTCTCTATCTCTATCTCTCTACACGTGTGTGTTAGCAAAATGGATGAACACTGTCCAGGATACGGCTTCGACGACGAAGAAAGAGTTCGTTTGATCGCCAAGATGCGTGAGCTTCTCCAGACAGTGAGTACTTCTTCTGCCCTCTGGGCATGTCTTTGGCTCTCAGACCTCCACCGGTTGGAACGACTAGTTGCAGATGCCTCTTCTCCCTCAAATAGAACCCTGGACGCCCTTAGTATCATGTCGTTTGACTCCATCACCAAGCAATGGCTGCAACTTCCTGGTAGTGGGATTGAAACCTCATCCAAAAAGCCAAGCCCTGCGACAAAACCAGGGTCGCTCGGTCGCGAAGCAGCAATGAATCGGATTGCCCTTACTGCCTCAAGCACTGGTGCTGCGGCTGACGAGCCTGCCGTCCAAGCGCCACAAACACCACCTCGAGCAGCGAAGCGTCCACGATTGCAAAGCAGATCGCCATCTCCATTAGGGTCCGGTTCCACCGCCTCTCGTTCACAGTCTGCTGCTCGCGATTGCAGGGAGAGAGATGGCGACCGCTGTACTATCACGAAAGCCTACCATCCGATAGACGTCGCGCACATCTATCCCTATTCCATGCGCAATACCACGGAACGGGGTCCCGGCCACAATTTCTGGAACCTCCTGTCCTATTTCTGGACGGACGAACATGTCAACTCGTGGTATGAATCTGTGTTTCCAAGAGGAACAGAGGTCGTGGAAAATCTTCTCTGCCTCGCGCCCCAGATGCATAGATACCATGGAAGCTCACTCTTTGCACTAAAACCTATCCATATCTCCGATGATAAGAAGCGTTTATTAGCCAAGTTTTACTGGCTTACAAGCCACCAAAAGTCAGATTCCGTCGATATATCTACAGTCCCAACCCTGCCATCCAACCTCACTGGCCGAGGCGACATGCATAAGGCATGGAATATTGTTACGGAAAAGAAGATCATCTCAGGGGATGAGATTGTCTTCGAGACAAGTGATCCAGAGAACTTACCCTTGCCCGACTGGAATCTCCTGGATATGCAGTGGACTTTACAGCGTGTTGCAGCACTAACCGGCGCCGCCGATATGCTTCTGGATGACTCTGAAGACGATGACAGCGACGATGGTGGCATCGAATGGGATGAAGGGCCCACCGTTTATAGCCAGGAGGTATGGGAGGAGGATCGTGCGGGTCTTCGTAACGCTCTTTTTAACCCCCCTCCCATTCCTCAGACCAAAATAATGGGACATTCGTGACTTCTTTCGCTTGTTATTCGTCGCCCTTAATATTCCTATCCAATGTATCTCACATAAAAGACACCGAAGAGCGACCATTGCTTTTAATAAGTACAAACATCAAAAGTATTTATTTTCCTTACTACTGTTATTATCATTGCGTTAACCACCAAGACCAGGCGTCCCTGAACAATCGCCGACGGGAAAATGGTCAGCCAAACATTTTTCCTGCTCGGCCGAAGGGAAGATACAACTCGAAAAGTTGAGATGAATGGCCCTGATTCCCTGAATGCTATACTGCCTGGCATCGCAGCTGTCTATGGTATACTTCGCCCGGAAGGTATTATTTTAAGCAACCCCAAACTAAACTCCTCTATGCTTCCTCGGGCTGATCCCATCACAGAAATTCGTTTTCATAACGAGCACGAACAGCTGGACAGTATCGAGGAGTTGATCCAGTGCAACGATGCCGTGGGAATCAGTATCAATGGCCATCCAGTCAGGGAGCCGCAGCAGCCACCTGTAATCTCAGAATTTGGCAATCATTTCGAGATTTACCCTGACCACATAGGGAACCACCAGAGACTCTTCAACAAATATGGCTCTGTAATTCGCACTGACAACTTTGGCCGGGTTACCTATCTCGCCAATGACCCAGACATCACTGCTATCGCTTTCCGGGAGGGCGAGTACTTCACTAAAGCTCCGTCGACATTGAACCATCCACTATATAGAATTCGTGACCAGACAGCACTATTCTTATGCGATACAGATGCTCCGGCATGGAAAGATGCCCACAGATACATTCCACCGAGCATGACGCCTCGCGCGGTGCGGCACTACACGCCACTGCTGCAGCGATCTGTCGAGGCGTCATTCCGGGTGCTGGATATCTTTGACAAGCATGGTGAGGCATTCAATGTCTACCAGTTTACAGCCAAGCTGGCGTCTCAGATCATCTGTTAGCTGGTACTAGGCATGGACATGCACCATTTCGACGCCATAGATAGTCCTATACACCGCATCATTATGCTGCTGCAGGAGTATCTCACCCTTAACCAACGTGTGCAAACTAAGGGAGCATGGTACTCGTATCTTCCGTTCGGTATGTCGGTGAGATAGAAGTAACTAGTACTTAGTATCAGTTAGGTATTCAAGCTGACTACTAGCGGTTGTAACTTAGGTGACCCGGTCGCGCTCAAACAGACTCGCAGGGAGCTCTATGAACTAATAGAGCAGGCAATATTAACTTGCCAGCAAGACGAAGCTATAGGGGACCTCCCTATTCAAACAGCGGCTCTGCATGCATCGTGTCTGGTCGATTACCTAGCGCGTGCAACTGACGAGCAGAGCGCAAAACCCCGTCATGAATATCTCCTCAGCAACACACTCGCGCTCGTCGGGGCAGGTTTTGTTACTAGTTCCGCATTCCTCTCATGGCTCATATATGCGATGATGACCTACCCGGGCCAGCAAGATCGTCTGCTACAGGAGCTAGTTGACCACGGCGCCGCTCCAGATAAGCGCTGGATGTACGACGAGATCCAGCGCTTAACCTACCTCGATGCGTTCGTCAAGGAGACACAGCGCCTGCATAGCCCATCATTCCAGCCGGGGCGTAATGCCAGGCGAGATGTCATCCTACCTGGCGGCTGGATCCTCTCGCGAGGTGCCATCCTTATACCGAGCATGCCGCACCTGCATCGACACATCGAACACTGGGACAACCCTGAGCGCTTCGACACCGGCAGGTGGGCAACAGATGCTGTCAAGGGCCGGCACGGGCGCGTTTACGTGCCTTTTGCAGCGGGTGCGAGTGGTTGTGTTGGGTTCAACGTTGCGTTGCCGGAAGTGAAGGTTACGTTGACTGAGCTGGTATCGCTACGAGTTTTCTGCCGCCAGCGACGAGGCGATCGAGTACGACCCAGACTTCATCGTGATTCGCCCGATGAACTTCTACGCATGAGGCATACGGCGGTCGACTTGGCCACCGCGATCATAGCCTTGATAGTTATTTCAGTGCCGAGCCAACCCCTGGCCCATATGTGAACAGCTTTTGTCGATTGGCCAGCTCGAACCAATTAACTCGTTAACTGGTTAGTGTTAAAAGCGTATTTGGCATCTCGATGACGACGATATCTAGATTACTAGAATATCTTGCATCTCATTTTTATCGAGAGAACTATTATTCGCAGATTTAAATAGCCTATGATTCGTTATCCTTTTGGTACGTTAGTTATAATTAAGGTTTTTCTACAGGTTAGTTATATGATATTAATAATAACTACATGTTTGTCATCTCGGCTGGTTTTTTTCCGTAAGCCTGAAGAGATATCGGGAGCTTTTCGGCAAGTTATGAGTGAGTGCTTTGACTAAGGGGGTTACAATCTGATTTCTGAGATGGCTGCGGCCTCAACAGCCAGAGCTGAACCGCTGAATAACTGGGCAAGTTGCAGCGACTTCTACGCTCATTTGTAATAGCTGTCCGTGTATATTGTACGTGGCCATGATGTTAATTATATATATCAGTGTCTATAGTTAGCCCAAATAGGTCATCATGTTCTATCTTACTTCATACCTCCATCCCTTTCTCTTCCTTCCCGATAGCTGATCGGGCTTTGCTTCTCTCACTGAAGATGGTTCTCAAACCGGATACGACCACCTCAAAGGGCCTCGACGATACTGAAAAAGGTGCATGCAGTTGTTCGGATACTCACCAAGCAGACGAGCGTAGTAGTCCACGAGATATCCACGGCACATTATGGCTGATTGTGGTCCTCGGCATCTTTAGCTCAACCTTCCTCTTCGGACTTGATAATACTATCGTCGCCAATATCCAGCCCGCTATCGTCAAGTCATTGAATGGTGTCGAGAAACTGGCCTGGTCAGGCGTGGCCTTCATCATGGCCTCCAGCGCAACGGTGCTTACCTGGCTACAAATCTTCAACCAATTCAATATCAAGTGGATGTACATCTTCTCTATCACTGTGTTCTTGGCTGGCTCTGCTGTCTGCGGAGCTGCCCAGACGATGGATATCCTAATCGGTGGGCGAGTCATCTGTGGTATCGGTGGCGTTGGCCAGTACGTGGGAGTGATGAACTTTCTCCCTCGCCTGACGTCCTTGCAAGAACGGCCAATATACGTCAGCGCCATTGGTCTTACCTGGGGTGCAGGTACAGTGTTGGGTCCAATTATCGGCGGAGCCTTTGCCGATAGCTCAGCGGGATGGAGATGGTCCTTTTATATTAACCTAGTTGTGGGCGGCCTTTGTATGCCCGTCTACTTATTCCTTCTCCCCTCACTTCAGCCACAGCCCGATTCTAAAATTCGGGTCATGGATAAACTGAAGAAATTGGATATCGTTGGATCATTGATCCTTGTAGGAGCATTTGTGGCAGGTGTCATTGGCCTCAACTTCGCTGGAGCCTTATACCCTTGGAATGCACCCGGTATCATCGCTGCACTCGTTTTAGGGGCTGTCGGCTTTATTGTCTTTGGGATACAGCAAAGCTACTGCATCTTCACCACTGAAGAGACGCGTCTCTTCCCTGTGGAGCTGGTATCATGGTGTAAACCAGTACTTAGCCTGATCTTCCTATGCGGTTGCTGTACCAGTGTCTGCGTGACAATCCCAGCATATATTATTCCGCTATACTTCCAATTCACGGCGGGGGATAAATCACTGGAGTCTGGGGTTCGGCTGTTGCCATTTGTCTGCCTTCTTGTGTTTAGCTGTGTTGGAGGCGGAATCCTTGCTTCTCGCGCTGGATACTACCTCCCCTGGTATCTTGCCGGGGGAGCGCTTTGTCTTGTTGGGTCAGCACTGATGTATACAGTAAACCCGGGAACAGCCCCAGGAGCTATATACGGGTTCAGTGCCCTTATCGGCTTAGGCTCTGGTATGTACCTTCAGCTTGGTCATTCCGTAGCCCAGGCCAAGGCGAGCCTCGACAAGATACCTGCTGCCATTGCCTTTACGACAACAGCCCAGCTAAATGGGATGACGATCGCGTTGGTTATTGCTCAATGTGTATTTGTTAATAAAGCTGCGACGGGTAAGTAGTCATCCCAAAAGTCCCCCTGATGAAATGGATAACCTGGCTTACCGGCGTAACCGAATCTAGGAATCGCAAAGGTACTCCCACATGAGTCTCATTCCACTATCATTGATGCTATCACTGGGACTGGTTCAACATTTGTACACGATTTGGACCCTCATACAAAGGCTGCAGTTTTGGCTGCAATTGTATCCGCTATTGATAAAACCTACATCCTGTGTATAGTTGCCGGAGCCGCTACAGTCCTATCAACCTTTGGCATGAAGTGGGAAAGGCTGTTTATCTCTGCGGTGGCTGCTTGAAATCGCGTAGAAAAGACATGGGGTTAGCTAAAGTCCATAAATAAGGCAGGGTTAGGGTGTCGGTGAAAGCATTAGCAAGCGAGAGACGGGGTAATTCAACTTACGGAAGCAGTTTATGAACTTGCCGAAGTCAATATGAGCATAATACGAACCGAAGAGACAGTCTATTACCTCCATTTCTTTTAGTATTTTGCTGTACGAAGGAACGTCACCGCGATATCAGTATAATAGTTATAAAAGGGAACGTCCTCCTTCTTTTCCTGAAAGACTTCCGGTGATCAACACAAAAACGTTGATGATGAAATATTTGCATATATCACCTACTACGGGGTATTGGCATGCCTTGGATATTATCTTCTGGGGACTGCCACACTCCGCCATGGTGCAAAAGCAGAAATGATAGCGGTTAGAAGAACGAATCGCTTCCCGGACGGCACAAAACTCATCCAGCGGTATACACCAATTGCAGCGCTGGATAGGAAGCTCATATCAGCTGTGATATTCTATTATGGGTTGCTGGATGGTACAGATCCGGCGCATGGCCTGCTGCTTGTGGACGTGCATTCAACGATGCAAGCTTACAGCTCTCTGCATAATAGCCCAAAGTCGGGCATCATCCTTATCCGCAGTCTCTTTCCTGTATTGGCGTTGTCGTTTGCTCTTCGTTGGCATCTGCAGCAGTAACCAGCTAGTGTATAGGAATAAAATGTCGCAAACTTCCAACAAGAATGTTAGACGAGATCTGGCATGTACTCCGTATATACCAATCATAATCAAGAGCAATGGACCCGACATGTTGGATGGAACTGCATGGGTTGTGTGTATTGGACCGAGTAGTTAGGGCGTGAAGACACTTGTTATCAGGTGGACCTCAGGCAACCTATCTATTGGCCAAGCAGGGACGGCGTAACTAGTTAGTTATTGTTTATCCGACAGTTACGCTGGCTCCAACAATCTTAACTTTCCTAATGCACAAGCTGTTGGCATCTTAACCACTGCGTTTAAATAAATATAGGGGGATACACATGCTCTAAAGGTTGTTCTTACCACCGCTTATCTATCTAGTTAACTCCTAGCCTTGATCAACGGCTAGCTAATTGCCTAGATATCTGTCGAAAAGAGTATTATCAGAATATCGGGGCTTTTGGGCAGAACCGTTGATCTGCGATGCATTCCTCAAGCCAGCCACCAGAAGCTTCGAGCTGGGGACGGATACGTAAAACATGCGATGCCTGCCAGGAATCCAAAGTCAAGTGCAGCCAGACGAAGCCATCCTGCCACCGCTGCATTCGACATAGCCAACCGTGTATCTACAGCCCCCACCGTCCTACTGGCCGACCGCGCAAGAGGGTCGGCAGGAGAACTGCAGACGCAGAAGGCCCTGTAGCAGAGCAGGATACACAGGAAACTAGGACACTCGGAATGCTTGGTGCCAACAGAGTGCAATTTCTCAACACTCCAGAATTTCTGTCAGCCGGGACAGGGGAAGATACAAATAACCTCAATCATGATATCTTTCCATCATTAGATTCCCTCTTGGATATTTCATTATGCGAAAGGGGACTGGACACATGCGGCATACCCAATGAACCAAATAATAGCTGGCAAGGAAGTCAGCACACTACTTATCCACCAGGCTCATTTCCTGATACCCTAAACGATAAGTTCGCCCTCGATCATGGCGTCTCCTTTCCTCCACTTTCCCCAGGTCTCAGTATTGATGAACCTCCGCAATTAAGTACCCGATCTCCTAGCACTACCAATAGTAATGCAGACCGAGATTGTAGCGGCAGGTGTTACGTGATGCTACTTCAGCAGCTATTATTCTTACATCGGTCGCTACCTGAATTCAGCCGGCCTTCTGTCGATGCTATTCTCTTAGTAGAACGCAATCTATACAGAAATGTCTCCGGCACGCTCCTACAATGCACTACTTGTGGTAGCAACCGCTCAACCCTCCTCCTACTGTCTACTGTCATCGAACGAATTGTCCTAATGTTTAACTGGATCATTGAGAAGAAGACTCTAATGGACTCGAAGAATGCACGCTTGAGTCGGCTGGCATTATGTTCCTGGGCCCAAAACCCATCAGTGCCACCCCCAGCAGACAGCTTCCAAAGAACCTTCTGTCATGTTCCGCTGATGGTGGGAAACGTGGAGATGGATGCAAAGACCAAACATACGTTTATGAAACCTTTGATAATTCTTAGGATAAAGAAACTGGCAGCGATGCTACAAGAGTTAAGCCGAATTACCGCAAGCCGCTCTCAGGACTGTCTTTGCCGCGCAGCAGAACTGATATTGATGGACTGCAAACAACGTTTGGACTATCTTCGAGGCCAGGTTCAGACATGGGAGTGACTTTTACTATTTCGCCCTTAAGTATTTATCCATATAACTATGTATTCTCGCACTTAGAGTTTTTCCTAGTCTAAGCTAGTTAGTTAAATACCTAGTCACACTATAAAGTGGCACTCTAAATAAACAAGCGGTGCGATACTTGGTATGCTATCACCAGTATCCAACAGGCGAGGCAGATGTAAAGTTGAGTATGCTTTTACTCACAAGATACCTTGCCCAAGAGTGATAGAATACTCGAAAGGATACGACCGACTTGCCCATCCCCGCGCCCATAGAAACTGGGTGAACCAGATGTCTTATCAAGCGAACCCATTTCGCGCAACAGATTGCTCAGATTCGTCAACACCCCACAGATAATCTGCCGAGCTAGGAGGCTTTCTTCTTCTCCTTGGAGGGCAAATTTGCCCAGCAACATAGGGCTTTTCGAACACTTCCAGGAGAGGGGAGTGGTATCGTCATCGTTCGAGTATACCGTCATCAATGTCTTGTTATTATCGATACTAGCCGCGACACCGCTCTCGAAGAGGCCGTAGGAGATACATGCAGCGTCGCACAGGGAAAAGATGGTTTCGGATATATAGATAGCAGCAGATACAAGAGCGTGGCTGTGAAGTGGATGTTTGCAAGCCTCGACAAGCTTCCAGTGGTCGTTAAGTGGTTTATTGATAGATGCGAGGATACTGAAGTCGAAGGAACCTTTAGATGGAAGACTAGAGGCAAGAGAACTTGCCGAATTTTCACAACCACAGATGCTTGTAGATGGGCTCGACATGTTCGGTATTGTCTGCTGGATGCCGATAACTACAGAGTTGTCCTTGGCAAACAATTGCAGTATGTAAATATAATATGGTACGATTAAGACTTGTGAATA